GAGGCATTTTCATTGATTAACTTTAAAGACTTTTCTTTATCTTAACAAAAAAGATAAACGCATGTTGTATACTGAGTAAGAGTAATTGGAAACTGAAACCAGCCAATAGCTACACAAACCAAGTTTTGAGCTAGTGAGCATTGCCTGAAAATTAATATCACATGATAACGCACAACTTAATGAATTCTATACCAGCTTTGCATATGCCATAGAATCAATCACTTTCTTTATAACTGGCAATGGCTGATAATGTCGAGAAGTATCTACACAAAGGTAATTTACAAGTCAGATAACAAGCCATGATTGGAGTTGGCCACCCTAGTAACAAAAATGTCAAACAAATAAATAAAAAATAAAAAATAAAAATCCAACGGAGTTTCCATTATATTTTCAACTTCAATGCTAACATTAAGAAATAACAGAAAGTTCACTTCCCAACAAATATCATGTTAAGATTCTAATCCCTTTTAGACAAGGAAGGTAAATCTTCCTCTAAGCCTAAGCATACCTCGAGTTCAATCCAAGGTTTCAACCAATAAATCATATATAACAAAAATATAGAATTTTTCTAATTCCCTCAATCATCACTTTACGCCATGACAACATAATTGAATAGTGTAGGTCATAACAACATAATTGAAAATGCACTGCAACTATTTAAGAAAGAGGAGAACTCAATCAGCCGAATAGTATGAAACGTACTTCTTGCCTAATTATTATGCATAGTCCTTCCATAAAATTTAACCTATCATATTAGCTAAAGGGACAATATCCACCATAAACTGCTTGTTTAAATCAATAGATAGATTACATAAAATAACTATATATATATATAAAAGAACACAATTTGATCTTTTGCGACAGTATCGACACTCACTAAGCAAAAGTAAGTAATATTTCAAAATATCAACGTTTCTGTCAGAATTACCATGAAGGAAACAATATAAGTTAATGACAAAATAAATAAACTACAGCATAGAAGAAATAAAAAGGAACTGAAACAGGACAGGGATACCAAGAAAGCATTTCTATCATGTCACTGTTGTGTCCAAGTATGGTCATTCAAGCAAAATTTGATATGGCAAAACTCAGAAGCATCTCACCAATTAAGAGCCCTCGATAGGAGAACCTTGGCTGGTCAATAATATTCCATGGTACCTTGCGAACTTCAATTACCCTTGATTCAAAATTGAAAGAGCATAACTGACTGAAGGTCTACAGAATTTCACATTAAAAAGGCATTCTCAATATTTTATATATTCCCTTAGGCTCCACGAATATAACATTCAAGATTGAGTCTCAGCAAGTAACCTGAAGACCATGCAAAGCCCCATAAACTGTACGAGCCTGCATAGTTTCAGAAAGTACTTACTTGATTAAGGACTAGAGCTACAAGAATAAATTAGTCCCATTAATAGTAAAACATAGAACTAATTACACTTCATCACGCAAAATATATTCAAGACAAAAATATTAATCGTTGATGAAGATGACCTAAGATTTAAATTAAATTTCATTGAGTTTCACTTTTCAGATGGTAGCATCTAGTTTTGGAGAACTCAAGATACAAGAACCTCATTAAATTATGAATTTAACCGTACACTTTCAGGCTCAACTACCAGATTAAGTACATAAAACATGGTGTGGGCACAGCCTGATTGTGGTGCATTCGAAGTTTGAGTATTATGAACATAGTTATCTCCAAAAATAGACTAAGTTACCATTCGAGTTCATGGAAAGAACTTGATTAAATAAATCACCTTAAGTCCACATAATAAATGGTTTTATGAATTCAAATTTAAACACAAAAAGAAAAAATCATTCATATGAAATTTATTTTTATTTAAATAAGAAATCGAAAGTTTAAACTAAGTCAACAATAGAACTTTTAATGTTTACATTTTTTTTATAAAGGTATGTAAAGAACTACATATACTTCAAGACTTTTAAGATTTTGTAACTAGTATCAAGTTGTTACAGTCGAGGCATTTTTAGATTTTAAGAAGAAAACCCAAATGTAGCTCAATTTTCAATCTATTCAAGAATTCAATTTTAGAACATGAACCACAGAATTCAACAACAAATACTCATGATAAAAAATAAATAAGCATTGGTCAAGATATTTACAACACAAGTCCATGTTTGAATCAAAATACACAAGCCAACTAAAAGTTAACAACTTTTTTCCACAATCATAGACGATGCTCATTTGAATCAGTATTTTCCCCTTTATGACCTTTTAGGTGACTGGTACGAAAATGAAAAACCGATTGACTAATAATCAAGTAAAGCGAGTAGGTGAAGAGTTGGTTTCACCCACCTGGAGATATGCATAGGCAGGCTTTCCAGGTGTAGGTGCAGGAACTGATAATGTGTACGATTCGTCTACACCATATTGTAACTGCAAATCCACATGGAAATTCGTAGAATTCAAACGATAATCAATGAAATTGTAGAATTCAAACGATAATCAATGAAATTGTAGAATTCAAACGATAATCGATGGCCAAAAAATTTAGCTCCAGAACAAACTATAATTCATTTTATTGAAATGGACCTCCAGAACCAAGAAAATCAGAACTAGAAACCAACCATGATGGTTCTAAAGTGAAAAATATGTTAAGAACTCCAAATGCATGATTATATAATAAGTTTTTGAGAAATCCAAGAAATGTGAATTGAACTTGAACAGAAACTTCAAACGCATTCCCAGAAAACTGAGAAACGATGGAAAAATGTAGAACAAGCTCTACATAATTCCCAACAACTCTGAAGTCATCAGCAAATCCAGAATATGGAAGGATAAAAACAGAATCAACACAATCATAAATATACCTCATCGGAAGGCGAAGAGACAACAATGTGGATTCCAAGAAGCAGAGCAGAGGAACCCAAGCGAGTGAGATTAGCATCAACAACATGAGCAGCATGAACCACATCAAGTAACCTCGAGAATCCCTCCTGGAGTATCCCCGAAGCATCGCTGAAGTTGGAACCCTGAGTGTTGAGGCGAAAATCCTTCGCAACATACAACCGACGGTGCCCACCGTGAGTGACCGACGCCGGCAACGGCCATATCCGCACACCTCCGGCAATCTCATTGCTCCGGGAAGCGGCGGAAGCGACTAAAAAGTAAAAAAAGAGCTGCAGAAGCAGAATGGCGGAGGAGTGAACTGCCATTGTTATACAAATGGAGAAGATAAATGGTGATGAGATTGTTATAGAAATGGAGAAGAAAGAAATCAGGCCACAGAGAGCAGAGAAGCCATAGCAGAAAGTGACGATTAGATGATGGGGAAAATGATTAACAAATGAAGAAGAACAACGTGGAACTCCAAAATCGGACTGCCTTTCCGGTACGTACCGGCTTTTTACTTATATGGTCACTTTCTCGTGATTTCATAAATAATTAACAATAAATTATTTATATTTCTTTAAAAAAAAAAAAAAAAAAAACTCATAATGTTTTTTTTTATAATTTATTTTTTTATTTTATTTTATTTTTAATAATTTTTTACTATGGTAATTTTAACCCTTTTCTCACTTCAAATATAATTAAAAAAGAATTTTCTATCATGCATTAATTTAATTATAAAACATAAATATAATATAAAATTAATATAATTATAGAGAAAACGACCATATAACTTTTTCTTTTTTTGAAATTTATGAAATTAATAAGTTTAATAATACTTTACGCTATTTTCTATTAAAATTAATAGGTGAGGTAGCAAAAATTAGATCGAAGATAAAATTATATAATAATAATAATATACGTACATTTGAACCGACGTTCAGATTATATGTTAAATAATAATAATAATAATAACTTAAATAGGATAGTTTTTACTTAAGTAAACATTCTAAAATCATAGTTGATGAAATTAAATAAGTCAAAACCTTTTTTGAAAAATGAAAAAACATTATTATGGGTCAAATAATGTAATGCTTAATGGTCCCTTCCAAGAACAGCGGGCCCCACCTTCTTGAAGAAATCACGTGCATCCCAAAACACATATTCCCCTACTACCTATACTTAATTACGGCTTCATATTCGGCTGTCATGGGACGCCACGTGGATGGTTGGATTTGACCGAAAAAAAACTGTCTTCAAAATAAAATTAATAAATTAACAAAAAAAAAAAACTCATAATTTATCTAAAACATACCCTTAGAAAAAAAAAACATATGATTGATAAATATTTAAATTTATTTTATATGTTAAGAAGAAGATTATTAATTTAGATGAAAAGTTAAAATCATGATATATCTAATTATTATATTACTGATAAATATTTAAAGATTCTCGACATTCTTTAAAATTTACCATACAACATTAAAATTAAAAATTTAGAATTTATTAAATATTTTATATTTTTCAAAATTTAAAAGTTCATAAATTTATTAAATATTATATATGTGAAATATAAAAGTTTAGAGATTAATTTTTTTTAATATGCCCACAAATAATTAAAAATAATAATTTATGATCACTAATTAGTGATTCAATTATATTTGATCATATTTACGTAAACCTTAAAAGTAGGTATACCCACCCAATTAAATTAAGTATTAGTTGAAATTTAACTGTTATTAATTAATTAATTATTATTTTACAAAATTACATGATTTAATAAAATAAAATACACTTCACCCACGTGGACATTATTATTCGAAATTGAATTGTTGACGCATAAGTCCCAACGACCTCCCCACTTTCGTTTCAAGCACGTGCACCCCACGCACATGGACCATTCCTTAATATGGACAGTTCTATCTTCTCTCATCTCCTAATCCGATTTAACGCCACGTGGATGGCTAGATTTTGACCAACGGCCTTCGCAAGGATCTTAATTTATAAACTTGGTAAAGTGTTCTTGACTTAAGATATTGGGGTGATTCCTTATCATTGTATATAATACGACGCTAACGTTCGGGTTAGTTTCTTTACATAAAAAATCACTGCAAGCATCTCTGAAGCCATGGATGATTCCAACAAATAAATCAGAAGATCTTCAATAGCAAAGACTATTTTTACAGATAATATATACATGAGAGTATCTGTCATAATACAAAAGTTGGGTATCATAAACACATTAATATACGATATGCCCACTTGACTCGACTCGACCTGACCCGACTCACTGACTCACTTACATAAACGTCTAGCTTAAACAAAGCAATATATAAATAATAATAATAAGAAAAAGAAGAAAGGAAAAACAAAAGGTTATTTTGTTGGGAAGGGGAGTTTTTGATGACGGAGAGAGCTATCGACATCCCGAGAGGTGCATCGTTGAACTAACATCTACCGGAGCCATTTTGTTTTTTGGTTTTTTTTTTTGTGGTTTTTTTCCCCAGCTGTGTATCTCTGCATTTTCCTAAAGTAAATCAGAAACTTGATTTCATGAGATTTATTCTTGGCTTTAGACTAATGTTGTCAAAGGGTCTCTCCTGTTCTACATGGAGGTAATCCTTTGTCTTCAGAACCTGCAGAAAGAGGGATAACTTTATGCATAAATGAACCAGCAAATAGCATGTATTCTAGAACACAAGACACCATAAGATTATCCGTAGACGTGTTTTAAAACCAAGGGGAAGCCCAGAAGATTATCAGTAGATGTGTTTTAAAACTTTAAGGGGAAGCCCAAGAGAGAAAGTCCAAAGAGGACAATATCTGTTAATGGTAAGCTTGGGCCGTTACAAATGGTATCAGAGAAAGACACCGAGCGGTGTGTTAGGAAGGACACTGAGCCCTTGAAGGGGAGTGGACACTAGGCGGTGTGCCAGTAAGGATGCTGGACACTGAAAGAGGACAATATATGTTAGTGGTGGGCTTGGGCCATTACAAATGGTATCAGAAAAAGACACCGAGCGGTGTGCTAGCAAGGACACTGAGCCCCTGAAGGGGAGTGGACACTAGGCGGTGTGCCAGCAAGGATGCTGGACCCTGAAAGGGGTGGATTCGGGGTCCCACATCGATTGGAGAGGGGAATGAGTGTTAGCAAGGACGCTGGGCCTTGAAGGGGAGTGGATTGTGAGATCCCAAATCAGTTGGAGAGGGGGACGAAGCATTCTTTATAAGGGTGTGAAAACCTCTCCCTAACGGCTACGTTTTAAAACCTTGAGGGGAAGTTTGGGAGGGAAAGCCCTAAGAGGACAATATCTGTTAGCGGTGGACTTGGGTCGTTACACATCAAATCTTCCAATTGTCTACCTACAACATGTGAGATCGTCTCCAACAAACGAAGGATAAGTTTTCACATCAAATTACTTCTACGAGTATTTCCGACACCCCATCCCCTATTTCTTATTGTCGACGCCTCCTCCCCGCCTCTTCTTCCTCCTTCTCTTCCTGCCCCGCCCCCTCTTCCCAAACCTCCAACTCTAGGGGCCCCCTCTTCCCAAACCTCCAACTCTAGTGCCAACGTCGGGCGTCGCCGTCGGCGTCTCCTCCTTACCTTTTCTTCTTCCCCTTCTTACATTCCTCTTTCCTTCTCAAGGAAAGAAACTAAAGCAAAGTTGATTCATTCATCATCTTCTTCCTCGTTGGTTATGAATTTACCAGTCCTAGGATCAAGAACAACAATGAAGAACACAAGATCTGAGAAAGCCAGAGGCTTGATCTCATTGACGGGCACTCCCGTATCAATGTTCGACTGCACCAACACTCTCTTTCCTGTAATAAACCCTCTCATCAGCCGAACACGAGCCCTAGTTACATTTCATTTGCCTTAGTGAATCCAAACAACACACCTTCACAAAATAGAGCCATCATTTCTAGCCTTTCCTAGCTATGTGGTATTCGAAAACCATGCACAATTAGCAGTAGGAAGAAATTTTGGCTGGCAAACATGAACCTAGATAGCAACAATATATCGATCGACGACCATACTCAGAAACCAAGACCACATTTTGTAATCATTCCGTGGTGCCGACAACGTAAATCTACGAGGGTTCAAAATGACGTACCAGTGTCTCGAAAAACATTCTCGATGCTTCCTTCCGAGTTTTGTTAACGAGTAAGTTATCCATGTGAAGGACCTTTCTCCCATGTACAGAGTCCCTATCAAAGAGATTTTGAAGATATCTAGCCACAGCCCTGTTTAAAAGAATACAAACGACGTGTTCGGTAAAATTATGAAGGAAACGAAAAGGCAACCCGAAAAGTGGCTTCATTTAGAAGTAACACATCAATCGTACACGATAACTATCCAAACGACACCACCTTAGAGCGTACATATCAATGTAAAACTTATCCGATGAAAAAGAAGATGACTAATAAAATACATGCCTGGTGCGGGACGACCATCCACTGTTTTCGAGAAAGCTAGGATCAGCTGCAAATTGCTCGTTGTCCTCATCTTCTTCATCGTCGTCATCTGCGTTCAAAAATTCTGGAGGAAAACGATACATCGTGAGCAAACATAACAACAAGAGTTGCTCTTATGTAACACAATAAGGACACTGCTAAGTACAGAATCAAGAATGTCATGAAATGCAAACCTATATCATTGGCCACCGTGGCATCCTCGAAGTCCTGCACGACAAATAAAGTTTTAGACACGAGAAGCAAACAAGTATCGACGTAAATAAAGGGTACGCTTTTTCAGGAAATTCTGTACAAAGAAAATAAACAATTTCTGAACATTTGTATTGATTTAGAACAGTAAGAACCCACAAATTCGACTTCCTTCTTCCTAAACACGACATTCGGGGACTGATGGGTGTTCGTTTTTTCTTTCCAAAAAAATTCGTAATCCAACCCTTTCATGTTTTAAAAAGCACAAAAAGAGAGAAACATACACCACGATCTTCGGCTATTGGATGATCGAGGACAGTCATTTCAGTGTCCACAATATCGAGCAAATCAGCTTCTTCGGGATAGCTCGGATTCACAACTTCATTGAAGGAGGTACTTTTAAAATCCATATCGAATCCTGGTGAATATTGAGAATCCATCTGAGCTCCATCAATTAAACAAAGAGAAGCTCCATCCTTCTCACCACAAACGAAATCTGCTGTATTTACTCCATCTGCATCGATTTCCCCTAACTTAACATCTAAGATGCTTTCAGCAGGTTTGGCGCCATTTTCTCGAGGTGAAGTTACAAGGGAAACATTGTGATCGGGTTTTTCATCGTCAACGTTATCTCTGATCTCGGTGCAATCATTAGCATTGACAGTGTCAAGACCTACATTCCCCGATTCCACCGTAAAAGTATCTTCAACACCAGGCTGAGATTCCAATATTTTCTCCGGAGAAAAGCAAGATATATCCATCTGCAACGAAGCGTTTCGATCATCATATTTATCCCCGATGACTAAGGACGGCAACTCTAACTCCTTGATATCGAAGCTATCAACTGCATCAGCAATATTTCCGGCTTCAGAATCAATTTTTTCTCGCTCTCCAACGGGTTCCAGTCCAGCATTCTCAGTTGAAGTCACTTGCTGCTGGTCTTGAACATCAAGATCAGGACACTCTAAGGCTAACTCTTGAGTTTCGATCTGAATAGTAGCCCGAGAAGGCTGAGATTTGAAATCATTTTTGTCGACCACCGCATCAGGGTTTGTTTCTGTAGCACTTTCTTCAGTGGTATTTGGCCTAACAGCAGACTCGAAATTGTTTCCTGCCTCGGTCGAAGCACCGACGGGATCCTTCTCGTAAACCCTGATTTCACTAAGGTTAAACGCTTCTGCATGCAATGAGGACAGTTCCTTGGAGATACCTAAAGCATAAGGAAACAAAAGTTGATTACTAATTAGCAAGAAAAGAGAGATTATATAAAGAATGCCTGAATACCTGAATATATGGATTCACTGAAAATCTCATCTTCTAAGAATTGTCTCTGAATCATCGAAATTTCCGGACGAGTACAAGGTGCCTTTTTCCGAACACGTCGTATGTCTTCAGTGCTAGTAAGTTGGTGACGTATTGTGCTGAATAATAATAGTACACATGCTGTTAGTGTCTCGGCACTCCCGTTTACCACGGCGAAGGTGAGTAATTACCGATTAAAATAAATAGTGAAATGTGTACTAGAAACAGGTTTTTTCTTGAAATATTTAAAATGGCAGGTTAGAGACGAAATTCCAAAAAAAAAGCTCATCGATTAAATAACGAACAAGGAACTATAAATCGATAGTAAAGTAAAACTTGAATATTGTATCGAGTATATAAACAAATGGATGCATATGATACATACTCTCCATGCAAAACCATCATGTCATCCATAAGCACCTTCTTCTTCGAGGTGCCAACTCGAAGTGCAGGTCGTGAACGTTTCAAGGATATTGTTTCATGCATAGGAGGTGACGGTTTCATTTTCAAAACCGAAGATCGTCTTCCAACTAAATCAACAGAAAAAACTAACTCAGTGACATCCTAGTCTACCAATTAGAAAGTCAGAAATATCAGCACACTGTCATAGAGATGTCAAAAGGAATGTAATAATACCTAAAATAGATGATAACAAATCATCATCATCAGGAATGGACTCGGTAACCCTCTTAGATCGGTGCACCCCAACCGACTCGGCTGAGTTAAAACTCTGGGCTGTTAAAGTACTTTCAGTAAAGCTTCGCTTCTTCCCAGATAAAAGTTTAGTTCCAGAAACACCGTCGTCCTCGGCCAAGTTTCCTTTGTCCAGTGAAGAATACAACGGTAAGTCGTCACCGTGTGTTTCGGTAAGGCCCTCTGGTACAGAAAGCAACTTCTCCGGTGCAGGGAAGTCTGAGGTCGGAGACCTATTCGAAATCTCTGTGCAAATATCATTAGACAATGCAGAACCAAAAGGTTTGTTCGGACCCCTGCAACTAGCCAGTCCATCTTCAGAAACTTCTGTACCGCCTTTCTCGCTTATTTCCAAATTTTGCGTCACAGCATCAGTTGCCTGGTAGCTTTCGCCTAAAATCACAAATGATTAACTAATTAATTCTCGAAGTTATGAAGTATATGATGGGAGCTCCAGAAGAATGAGGTATAACCACCGATCGATACCTTCAAGAGATGACCTATCGCGTTCGATTCCATGGGAATTGCATGCCTGAAGCACAGGCTTCTCCATGGATGTAATTTCTTCACCATTGAAAGAATTTTGAGTCTCGGTGTCCTTCGGTTCCAGAAATTCCTTAGATTCAGCATCAATAACCTCAGGTCTCCCGGGAGATTCCTCTTGGTACGTTGAATCCAGGGCAACTTTTCTAGGAGAGAGCACTTCAACCAAGTTGTCCATGGGTTTTAAGGATAGTTGACCCTCTGATGCTAATGCATACGTGCCATCCGAACGAGCTTTATGGCCAAAGTCCTCCAAATCAGGGGTGACACCGGAGCAACTAGGAGACACAGCAGTTGCATCTAACGAAGATCGGCTACAGTCATATTCTGCATCAACGTGATCAAGAAAGGTCATTTCAGGCTCATTGTTTATTACAACTCCATTGTTCATTTCTTCTCCTGTGATTGGGCCACCCAATGCATCTGTAATACAGATGAGCATTTTACAGAAGACGGGATTTATCGTTTCGGTAGAAGCAGCAAACCATGATTATCAGGATTCTAGAGAACAAGACGAGTGAGAAAAAGTTAAAAGGTAATTACCTCCTTTCGTCTTTTCCGATGGCAACGAAAACTGTTCAAGTTTTGGGTCATTAGAAAGATGGCCATTCTCTTCAGGATGCATGATTCTTGTAGTCTCATAATCCAAATCATTATGGGAAGACCAACCTAAAACATCAGTAGTACCACCGTAAATATTCGACTTCCTGGATTCATTATTTTCAATTCCGACAGCTTCCAGATCTGTACTATGATCTTCCACTTTCAAAGAACCATCACTATCCCGTACGCTAGACAAGTTGCATTCATCCACTCGTCTCGTGGTAGATGCTGGATCCTGCGTAACATACAAACTAGCAATGTTCGGCCAATTCTAACGACAATTCGAAGGCTAAACACAGAATATAAAAGAATAAATAGAAATCTTAATCATCAGATGATAATAAGTCTATATTAACCTGAAACCGATTAGCACGTACCTGCACTGTTTCAAAGGTTTCTAGGATTTCCTCCATATTCGCATCTGTGTCTTTCAAGACAGTTGATTGAGAAGGTGCCCGAACATCATTACTGCAATCACACACACGAACAAAACAAATTTTGAGTACATGGGTCGACTGGCAGACGGGATATAGCCTTAAAAAAAGAGCCTTTAATCATAGCAGTCAAGCTTTAAAATATCATATAGATATAAAACGCTTACTCTAAGATCTCATCGTGTTCCTTAACGGTGATCTTCTCCGCAAAGAGTTCCTGCTTGTCATCAGTAAGTGGGAAAGGGGGAGACAAAATTACAAACAGGAAATGCAGGAAAAGGAAGAAGAAAGGAAGGAAAAACTAGCCATTTGTACTTTCGGTTTCACACATCTAATCGTGCAAGATTGCTAGCCACGTTGTGGCAGCCTTCTCAAATAGTTTCTCATATTATGTTACCTCGTCGAGATCTAAACCAATTTGTGAAGCATCTCCGTCACCGAAACGTTCTGCAAAACCAAGAAGATTAAAGTTTTTTGGATAAGCACTTAATGTAGTTGACTAAACTATCGCCACATCGAACGCGTAGAAAAGAATACTAACCATCCAAGCCAAATTGAGAAGTGGTGTAGACTACACCCTCCATAGTATCTTGAAGGGTGATTTGCTCCCGAGAACTAACGTGATGATCAACATAATTACTGCAGCAAAATTAGAGGTCATTCACTGAGGGGAAAACGCTACAACACGGCTTTGTTGCTATTGCCGCAGGTTCATTATAAACAGAACTGAAAACCCTTTAACTAACCCCTGATAAAGTTCGTTGTCCGGAAGCTCAAAATCATCGAGATCAAAAGTTTCGGGCAAAGTGATAGAATGATATGGAGCAGTAGATTCTTCAGGTGGTAAATCGACAGCAGTAGAACGGAATGCTTGCTTTATCTTAAGCAGAGCTTCACTACAATCGTCAAATAGGTAACCCACCTTTCTAGAATATATCCTCACCACCCCAAGGAGAAGATGGCTGGACAATCGCAGTGCAATTGGCACGTCGGGGAAAAGAATCGAATCTGTTTCGAAAACTTGAATAAATAAGTAACTTCCTAGTTCCTCTACTAGGGAAGCGCAATCAATAAACCAAAAAATGCATCTATGGAACCATAATATCATAAAATATAATTTTCATAACCAACAATAATTTCATTTAGACAGAATCAGCCCAAGCTCACCGCTAGCAAATATTATCCTCTTTGGGCTTTCCCTTTCAGATTTCTCCTCTAGGTTTTTAAAACACGTATGCTAGGGAGAGGTTTCCGTACTCTTATAAGGAATGCTTCGTTCCCCTCTCCAACCAATGTGGGATCTTACAATCCACCCCCTTGAGGGCCCAGTATCCTAGCTGGCACACCGCCCAGTGTCTAGCTCCGATACCATTTGTAAGCGCTCAAGCCCACCACTAGCAGATATTGTCCTTTTTGGGCTTTCCCTTTCGGACTTCCGCACAAAGTTTTTAAAGCGTGTCTACTAAGGAGAGATTTCCACACCCTTACAAGGAATGCTTCGTTCCCCTCTCCAACCAACTTGGTATCTTACAATCCACCCCCCTTGGGGGCCTAGCGTCCTCACTGACACACCGCTCAATGTCTGGCTCTGATACCATTTATAACAGCTCAAGCATACCGCTAGTAGATATTGTCCTTTTTGGGCTTTCCCTTTCGGGTTTCCCCTCAAGGTTTTTAAAACGCGTCTACTAAGTAGAAATTGTCACACACTTATAAGAAATGCTTCGTTCCCCTCTCCAAACAACGTAGGATCTTCCACCATATTACAAAAACCTCTATTTATCAAAAGATTAACGTCCTTACATATAGAAAGAGCATAGTACTCAAGAAACGCATGAACTCCCACAAATTTCAATCAGCTCTTAACACGAATCAATCAAAAAATTCCCAATGCATGAGAAGATAATCTACACTTATGAAACGTTCTAGCTTTGATTTGTCTAAGAAGAAAAGGGGGAAATGAAGAACCAAGAACATAGAGTGAAGAAATACTAACCAACAGAGACCCCGATATCAGTGTCCGCCACTTGATTCTTCCGCAGCTTCCTCTCCAAATGAGCCGCTATCCATATTGTCCCAAGCGGCCCTTTCTTGGCCAATATGAATTGAGAATAGAACATTTTTCACTTCACCTATGAAACCATGAAAATCTCCAAATAACCCAAATTCTAAGCCAACAAGATATCTCTCAGACACACATGGACACCAAAACCATTTCCACGAGCACCAAGAACACCATAAACAATCAGACAAATCAAACCCAACCCAATTGGTATAATTCACAACAAAAACCCTAATTCCAACCCACCAAAAAAACCCCCAAATTCCACCCCTAAACACACAAATTAGGCACCTCCAACCAAATTCCACACAGAAACCCCGAGAACTACAAACCCCAAGTAACAAAAACAAGAGAAAACCAAGCTACCAAAACCCCCAGAACTTCGAACCCCAAAAAGAAGAGACCCCAGTTCCCAAAACCCAAGTGGGGCTCCAACGAATGCTCGAACACCACAACTCCGCTAACAAACGCGCAAAATAACTCGAACCCAGATACAGAATCAGGTAGAAATCCCAGCAAAGCGAAGTCGTGAAGGGAATTGAAGGAAAATGAGCAGAAAACGAAGTAGCGGGGAAAGAACCAAGTGAGAAAAGAAGCAATGTTGAGAGAAGAAGAGCGAGCGAACCGGATCGGGCCGAGTTGACCAACAAATTGAAGAGAGAGAGGAAAGGAATCTCTGTAACGGGGGGGAGAGAGAGAGAGAGAGAGAGAGAGAGAGAGAGAGAAAGAGGTTGAAGAAGCGGGTGTGGTGACACTCTGAGCTTCAAGGAGTTAGGAACAGTGAGCAAAAACCCAATTGGAGCTGTCTCGATCCCACGCGTCGACCACCGATTGGTCTGTGTGTTTTTGGGTATGAAATTTGAGAATTTGGCCAAAAGTTTTCAAATATTTGAATAAGCTTCGGGAAAAGAAAGAGCCGTCTTCTGAAAGCTTTGATTTTTATTTTTTGTTTATTAAATATACAAACACATCAAAACTATGTTTAACTCAACAATTAATTAATTAAACAAAATTATGGTGTGGTAACGATTTATGCCATATCTAATAAGCATTTGTTTTTTAAATTAAGCATTTAATAGATATTCTGACCCAACCTCGTATCAATAAATATAATAATAAAATTAAAATAAGTATCGAGTTAGTTTGAAGTCTATTTCTAATGACCAAAAGTTGAGTTAGATCTTCATCGATGACTGAAGTACATAAGCCACACATGACATTAACGATGAAAAGTGGTGATGGTGGTTGACTATTAAAGACGATGATGACCGATCAAGGCTAGAGAATCAACGCTTGCAGTAATTTAGGTCATGGGTGAATTCTCTATTGATCGTCGTAGATTGTTGCCCGATTGTCTCGCCTCCCTACAGATTGACCTATGTGAATTCTCTCAAAGCAAGAGACATGATCGATATTCTTGTTTACTCTACCACTAAGCTAATAGTCTGTCGTGGGACGAAGAAAATTCATCGTACATAATTAAGGGAGCTATTGAAAAGTTACCGCAATTATTAATGGCAGTGGTAAGACAAAGATAGTTTAGTCTATTCCATTATTTTAAATTATAGGTCAATTAATATTTGATCAATTTTCAAAACTTCTATAAAAATGTGCTCCTAAGAACAAGACATGTCTTAAAAAGCTGCTAAAACGAGCATAGCTTAGCTGACATAATGCGTGTACCTTCGACTAAAAGATCCAAGATTCAAATCTTCTGCCCGACTCTGCAACACTTGTCCTTGTTCTTTATTGCATTCGAAAAGGATTTCTTAATTATTGTAACCTTCATTACTGTATATACTCTCCTCCTAAGGCCAACTAGGCTAAGGGTAACATGGTGCATTTCCTTTACGACTTTCCTGCTTCGGATGCTTCCGTCTCCTCTGTTGCACTGCCTAGCTTCACAATGTCCTCAACGAGTATCTTTCCTTCTGTTAAAAGAAAGTAGCAACGCGAGATTCATTAGCGAAAATACTAAGACTTCAAGAACCAGATGTGATATGAACCAAGAGACATCAATCAAACAATATACTTTAATAAAGATGTTAAGTATTGTTGAAATTATCAAAAGATATTTCAATTCATGCCACGTTGAAGAAGAACGAAGTTTCATGTTATAGATTTAGGGTGGATTACAATTTTGAGTAATTTAAAGTTACTGTATTACATTAATATTTACTTTAGGTTACATTTACATAATGGTTAATTATGGACATTAAGTATGAATGTAACTCTTGGAATGTCTCTAATAGTTTCATTTTGAGAATATATAAAGTCATGTATGTTGTATTTGTAACCAGACTTGGAAAATATAGTATAAGGAGCATTTGTGCTTTCTTTAGCGAATGACTAAGTTTATTTGCAATTCTATGTAGTTTAGGTTGCATGTAGAATCATTCAAGCTCGACACGATCAATCTTACTTGTGGAGTGATTCGAATCTCAAACAAGTGTTCTTGCGTTGAGATATTTGATCAACAAGAATCATTCAAGCTAGACATGATCGATCATGCTTGTGGAATGATTCGAAACTCAAACAATGTTCTTGCCTTGAGATATTCGATCAACAAGGTAATCCGAATCTTACTCCCCTTGTAGTGATTTCCACATATCAAGATGGTCTTTGATGTCTCAATGTTCTAGGGTAACGAGTAGATCATGGGCTTAAGGATAACTCCAAATACGTTAAATGTAACAGCCCAAGTCCACCGCTAGTAGATATTATCCTCTTTGGGCTTTTCTTCAAAGTTTTTAAAAGGCGTCCGCTAGAAAGAGGTTTTCACACTCAGATAAAAAATGGTTCGTTTTTCCTCCCCAACCGATGTGGGATCTCACGTCAAAGAATTAAAATTTTAAGTTATTTTCAACTCGGGTTTGAACCTAAGACCACGGAAAGTATCTCTAAATGTTCTAACTCTTACGACAAAGCACCCTTGGGTTAAAATCAGCATTACATGTCAGGGACAAGAAACAGAGGCAGAAGAGTAAAATGAAGCAACATTGCTTACCTCTATCCTTGGAGAGATTGCTGATAATTTCCTGAATACCCTCCTTGCCTAAGGTGTCCTTGAGATACATAGCAGCAGATGCAACCTCCTCAGTTGTCACTTTGCCATCATAATCCCTGCAAAGAAGTACCATATACATAGTTACACTCGCATGATTCACATAGAATTAGAAAGCGGCAACTATAAAACCTGTCCAGCAATCGCCAACGATCCCCGATTTTGGCATCAACATCATCGATTTCCTTTTCGAGCTTATGAAGCATCGTATCAATCTGAAAACATGGTACAGATCAGAGACAGAAGCTAGACAATTGATAGCGAGTTAGCATCGAGAGACCAAAATAAGCTCATGAAATACAATTATGATGAAGAACCATGTTACCCTGTTAATAAGTGCCGACGAAACCTTGCGACCTAAAGTCGACTCAGCATCCTGGTCGGTATCCTGCCTTGCAGCTTTGTAAGCCCTTCTTGCTTCTGCTTCACCATCTTTACCCTCTTTCTTGACCATGCTGTTGTACAGGTCTATCTGGAAAAAAACACCGACCAATTAACCATGTACGGGATTCTTTTGCTATCTTAGAGACAAGGAAAAAACTCACTAACCTACTGACATTTATGTTGTTAGGCTAATTTGCAGGTACACAACAAGAAGGAATAACAAGTAATACCTCTTTCTTTACGAGCTGTAAGAACTCCTCACGTTCCCTGCTGACCGACTAAACGAAACAACACGTGTAAATGCAAAGAAAATAGAAGAGAGCAACAACGCAAGTGCTTGAAATCACAAGTTGTTGTCAATTCTTACAGAAGCAGAAGCTAAAACTGCCAATGCACGGCTGAGTTCACACAGCTGCTCTTGTTTCTCCATTGTTTTTGTTTTTTCTTTGGGTTCTTCTCCAGTAGTTGGACTACTCATCTCTTCTAGTGCTACATCCTTTTGACTACCAGCAGTTTCTTGCATCTTAGCCAGCTCCTCTTCTTCTTCTTCTTCCTCCTATATATATATTATGAAGAGCATCAAAAGCCCGAGCCTTTTCGAAACAACTAATCCAATACAACGAGAATAAGAAACCTAGATCATCTAGGTAACTCATACAGAATCAGCCACTCAAGTACATCAAATCAAGCTGGCAACGCCCCTTCTCCCATAACTTTTCTTATAGTAATAATTGTAACAATAAGGAAGCCCCCCACAACCTTTATCATCTCTTCTTGCATTGCTAGGAACTCCAATTTCCTTCTTCTTTCTGAAACAGTATCTTCAGATGGCAAAGCTGTCACCCCTACGGTATCCACAACCTCATCCGGCAAGGAGGAGAGAGTTGCTTGTACAACTTCCTCTGGTCTCACCTTTCCAGACACAGAGAAGGCTCTGCATCGGTTATCAATTAGAAGACATATTTCATTGTCTTACAATTAGAAAAAAAGCCACAGAAAGTATTTAATTTACCTAGAAAGAATCAAGAGCGAAGATGGTACGGAGTAGTTGAGAGATAAATCCAGCCAATCACGTAGCTACAGGAAATAACCAAGCGAAAAGATTTTTCACTATGCACGTGCGTTCCAATTTAACGATTTCACACAAATTAAAGCAGTAGGCTGATATAGCCCAGGAGGGTCACTGTAGATCTACTTAAGCAAGCTAATTAAAATCTCCAAGCAGGATAAATAAAGGATAAGAAACCATCTTTAGTTAAGAAGAACGGATGTATAATAGGAGGAGCCACGAAAACGATAGGCCTCGAACAATGCAAGGTGCAACCAAAATATAGAAAAGGTTACAAGAAAGAGTGAATGTTGTTGTTGCTTCATAAAACCAGTGGAATTCGTGGCAGACATAACAGAGCTGGACAGCTTGCGAGTTACGAAAAATCATGGTTCCATTGAAGAAAGTAAAGGCCGACGCACCATATACAGAAGGTATAGTGTTCCTAGGTCTTATATAATCCATTTAGAACAATTGATATAGAAACAAGGAAAAGAGGAAACCTGTTGTCTCATTTCCTCAACAGAAAGCAATCCAAGTAAACCTCGTTCTCTACAGGCTTGACGAAGCTCTGCTTCTGAAAGAGATTCCAGCCCCTCTAGCTGAATCATCCTATCATCATTCTTAATCCTGCAAATATAAAAGAACCTCGTGCTTTATAGAGAGAAATTTCTGACTACAAAAAATGTAATGACTTCATGTTACTTTTGGCATCTCCCACCCAACATTTTGTAAACAAGAAAATACTTGAAATTTATCAACAACTTCCTCAGATGCAGCCTCTCTAGCAAAGAAATATGGATGACCACAGAGACAAAAGATAAGACATTAAATTAGCACAAATTAATTCATGGAATAATTCACAGAGTGAAGAAATAGTGGTCAGAACCATTACGTTTATGGTAATATACATCCTTCTCTAATAAAGCTTCCATACCAACTCTTACAACAAGAAGCTTAATATCATCAAAGGCCACAACTTGAACAATCACAAGTGATTACGTAAAACTACACACGTGGCTGAAAGGAAATTTCCTCATTGTTGATGAGACCATATGTTTCATTTTTCAAATAAAAGTCGAACTAAACTTGAAACAAGCAGGAAAATGAACAACTTTTAGGTGAACTTTCACAAAAATACCTCGAATAGAATGCATAATAATCATTAAAGAAAACGTCCTTGACCATTACCAAACCTTTTTAACATGACAAACTGGTAAAATGGTAGAT